ATGGAAACCTATTAGTATATCTCGCGGAGGGCCGAAGATATCACATGTGTGTTTTGCTGATGACCTTATCTTATTTGCGGAAGCCTCTGTTGCACAGATCCGGGTTATAAGGAAAGTTCTTGAAAAGTTTTGCTCTGCATCGGGACAAAAGGTGAGTCTGGAGAAATCTAAAATTTTCTTCTCAGCTAATGTAAAGCGGGAGTTGGAGACACTCATTACGGCTGCTAGTGGGATACAATCAACACGAGAGCTGGGAAGATACTTAGGAATGCCTATATTGCAGAAAAGAATCAATAAGAACACGTTTGGGGAAGTGGTGGAGAAGGTCTCCTCGCGTCTGGCTGGCTGGAAGGGGAGCTTTCTGAGCTTCGCAGGACGACTGACTTTAACCAAATCAGTCCTCTCCTCAATCCCTGTACACACCATGAGTACGATAGCTCTCCCGCAGGCTACTATTAAGACACTAGACCGGATTTCACGTTCCTTTGTTTGGGGAAGTACAGCTGAGAAGAAGAAACAACATCTTCTCGCCTGGAAGAAAGTGTGTTTACCGAAGAAGGAGGGGGGTCTAGGAATCCGGATGTCTCAGAAAATGAATACAGCTCTGCTTGTGAAGCTTGGATGGAGATTATTACATGATCACGTTAGTCTCTGGGCACAAGTATTGAGAAGTAAATACAAAGTGACAGACGTGCATGACATGGAGTGGATGAAGCCTAGTAGTACATGGTCTTCAACCTGGAGGAGTGTGATCATGGGAATGAGGGAGGCTGTGTTACCAGGTCTGAAGTGGATTATTGGTGACGGTCGGAAAGTACTCTTCTGGAGAGATAAGTGGCTACTTGAGAAGCCCTTAGCCGATGACATGGAGGCTACGATCCCGGAAGGTATGATAAATGTGCGAGTTCGGGATATTTGGTGTAGCGAAAGGGGGTGGTTGATGCCCTAAATCACACCTTTCATGTTTGAGGAGACTAGATTGAAGATGAGGTCAGTGGTTCTTGATAGTGTGACAGGGGCGAGAGACAGAATTTCCTGGGGTGAGTCCCAAGATGGGAAGTTCACTGTGAAGTCTGCATATGCGTTTCTAACACTGAATAACACTCCAAGGCCGAATATGCAGCGTATGTTTGAGCGAGTATGGCAAGTCAAGGTTCCGGAGCGAATTCGAGCTTTCCTGTGGTTAGGAGTCCATCAAGTCCTAATGACAGATATGGAACGACAGAGAAGACACTTGAGCTCATCCGGCTTATGTCAGGTATGTAAAGGGGGGGAGGAAACGATATTGCACATCACTAGGGACTGTCCCGCGATGTCTGGAATTTGGGAGAGGATTGTTCCAGCTGGGAAGCAGAGAGACTTCTTTGAAATGTCATTGCTCGAGTGGATCTATAGTAACTTGGGAGATCCTAGGCTGGTATGGAATGTCCCCTGGTCTACAATGTTTGCGATAGCTGTATGGTGGGGATGGAAATGGCGGTGTGGGAATATCTTCGGGAGCATACAGAGATGTCGAGACAGAGTTCGGTTCATCAAAGAACTCGCACAAGAGGTGATATTAGCACATGATAAGGTGCACGATACTAGAGCAGAGATAATACGAGAAGAGAGAATGATAGTGTGGCGCTTCCCAACGATCGGGTGGATAAAACTTAACACAGATGGAGCATCTCGGGGCAATCCAGGTCTGGCAACAGCAGGTGGAGCGTTGAGAGATGAGAATGGAAACTGGTGTGGAGGCTTTGCTCTGAACATTGGTATATGTTCAGCACCTTTAGCTGAGCTTTGGGGAGTGTATTATGGGCTCTACATTGCTTGAGAACGCCGAGAGACACGAGTGGAGTTGGAGATTGATTCGAAGATAGTAGTGGGTTTTTTGACGTCAGGGGTTAGTGATTGTCATCCCCTGTCCTTCCTAGTACGGCTGTGCTATGGCTTTCTTTCAAAGGACTGGATTGTCCGGATTACGCATGTGTATAGGGAGACTAACCGCCTTGCGGATGAGTTAGCAAACTATGCTTTTGATTTACCCTTAGGATTTCATTTTTTCTCTGTTGTACCCAAAAACATTGTACCGGTCTTGTCGGAAGATGCTCAGGGAGTTGCACGGTCTAGGAGAGTTCGTATGTAAGTTTGGTTCACTTGAATAAATAGGGGAGCCTATTCCCCAAAAGCTTACCAAAAAAAGTTCATAATTATACCATGTAATAGTTTATATATAATAAGTATATTAACTTGATACAAAATTAACTTATTAAAAGTTAGAAAATATTAATATTATTCGATTATATGATGAGATGGTTTGGGGTTGATGTATTTATAATATCTTTTTCGATGCAATAGAAATTAAATAGATATACAGTCCACTAAAATAGTGTGTTTTAAAAGTCTATATATGTAAAAAAATATGTATTAAAAGTCTCACATCTGTTATGAAGATGAGTAAAACAGATCAAAAACTGTAAACTAAAAATTTACACTTATTCGGTATCTAAATTGGTATTTTATTTTATTTTATTAAATTCTTTCGCAAAAATATATATATATTTTATTCAATTTTAACAATATTAAAACGGTTAAATTAACAAATAAAATATTTATATAAAACATAATATTTGGCTTAATATTTTGAAAAATCAACATAAAGAACTTTAACATATAAAACAAAAAATGCTTTAAGCTAATTACTAAAAAAATCAATATAAAAAGAGTTTAATTAACAAAAAAAAAAAAAAAATTGTTTCTTATAAAATGATAATACAATTAAAAAGGAAATTAATATCAAAAAGGTTAATTTAATATAAAAGTTTAGTTAACGAAAAATAAAATAAAAACTTTATTAATATTAAAAACATAACTAACAGAAAAGGTAAAGCTTCAAACTAATTTTTTAAAAATCAATATAAAATAAGTTAAAACAAAAATAAAACAAAAGTTATGCTTTACAAAATGTTGATACAATTTAAATAGAAATTAATATGAAAAATTTATAAAAATATCTACAAATGATTTGATATCAAGACTACCTATTTAAGAAATTAACAGAAAAAGAAAAAGAAAATTATATATTTAAAAAATTTCAATAATTTTATAAAATTTATGTTTCAAAATAAAATGGAATTCAATATTAAAAAAAATTATCAAAGAAAACAAATCGTATAAAAGAAAACTAACTTCATATTTAAGCTAATATTTTTAAAAATGAACATTACAAACTTAACAAAAAAAAAACAAATGATGCTATAAACTTTTAAGAGAAATTCTCATAAGATTTAAATTGAACAGATTTAACATATCAAAATCAGTATATTAACTAAAATAAAAATTAAATATGAAAAAAAATTAATAAATAAAAAATATCCATGTCAAAGAAATTAATTTGATATATATGCTATCTACTTGGAAAATTAACAACAAAATAACTTAATAAAAAAAATTATATATGTCTTAAATATATCAAACATATAAAAATAGTTTAGTTACTATCAAAAGATGCAACGTAACAAAAAAAAACTGAATAACGAAATTAATTTGAAATTTAGTTTCAGAAAATTTATGAGTTCTAAAATATTAGTATCGATAATAAATAACTATCTAAAATTGCAATAGATTACACAACTTTCTAAATCAAACATATTATTTAAATATACAAAGACTAATATATTGAGTGCTTCTGATTTAAAAGGTAACAAAGAAAATTATTAAATAAGTAATTTTACACTCAAAATATAACAAGTATAAAAATCTGATTTTATATATAACTACTATTTATATCTGAGCCAACATTAACAACACATGAGTAACACTTCTTAAAATTTATTTGAATAATAAAGTATGATAGAATTATTAATCAAACTCAAATTAGTATATCTACCTAAAATATCCAAATCCAAACATACAAAAACACACATAAATTATAAAAAGAGTGAATACTAATGCAAAAACTCCATAGTCCATACCATTGATCCTACAAATTTAATAACTAAAATTATTAAATATTAGACTAAAAACCAGATGGAGAAATAAGAAACAGTTTGATCACTGCAGCTTTCCAACAAAACTAAATGAAAATCGACAAGAATCATGGATTATATATGCATAAGTATATAACATTAATGAGACATTCGATCAAAAACTAAATATTTAAACACATAAACTTTAAAGAAAGAAAAACTATAAAAATCACAAGGAAAATAAAACAAAATATCAAGAACTTAACAAAGAAATCATTCTCCAAATTAAACATATGTACATATCAAAATTTGGATAATTTGATAGATGTCATTGCTATTATTATTCTTAATAAAATTTAAAATCTAATAAACCAAAATAAAAGAAAACTGAACATTAATTTTCAATTTTTTTTTATAAAAAAATTATATAAATCTAATAAAATTTTGATTGTTTTAAAAATATTAATAAAAAAAGTAAATCAAACTATTAATACATATCCAGTGTGGGGCAGATTGAAAACCTAATCCTAAATAACATAAGACCTGTATTTAGTGGTTTGGCAACTGCCAATTCGAAAACCGATCAGTACCGCATAAATACAAGTTTTCATATGTAGACACAAGTTAGTGAAAGAATTTATTTTCAGCTGGATTCCATAATAAATGTTTTGGATTCCATATACTTCAATTCTTCAGCCTATAAGAAGAATCATCCACTAAAAGATTTAGTTTTCATAAATTTTGATACTTGGTTTGAGTTAAGTTTCTTAGTTTGTTCTTTAAGAACAGAGAACACAATCATAGATATAATTCGAAAACTGATTGATACTGCACAAAATACAAGTTCTGTTCTCTGTAATTAGAAAGATGATGATTAACTCAAACGCAAAAGAAAGACAAGAAGACAAACTTTTCTTTTGTTTCTTTTTTTTTTCTCTCTCTAAAAGACGTATCTCTGTTCTTCAATCTCCTAAGTCAAACAAAATCTTGCTCTCAAAAGGCATTTAAATGTGTAAAAGAATAATAAAAGATTGAACCTTTTCCAATCTAAGGAGCCATAAGTCCCTCTATCGTGTAAGTTAGTGACTTTGCCCAATCCGTTTTCAGCAGCATTTTCTGTAGCGTGCGCATTATATCGTACCCCGGATCAAGTTTTCTTTGCCAACCCTGAAAATGCAGAACACATGATGTTAAAATTTCAAGCAACCTTTGATCATCAAGAAACTGTAAATCACTAATTCAATCACATCTAGCTTTAAGTTCATAGCTCAACAGAATCCAAATATGACTGCTTTCTCGGTGACTCACCTCGAGAACTAATGTTGTAAACATCACTGTGGAAACATTGCCGTCGATGTTAACTCTATGACGCCTCATTTTCTCGAACAACTCGTGCATACAATCCGCTGGATGAACTAACTCTCCTTCCTGTGTTCCCCAGAATCTAAAAGCTTCTTCTACTTCCTGTTAACATTGTGTGCATACATATATATAAACACCACAACAACAAAAAGGAAGAAACTTTGAAATGATGTACAGAGCAGAGATCTCTCACCTCGACAAAGGCCTGTGGATTAGGACAATTCTGTTGTTTAGATAACTTAAGCGTTCTCTCAGCAGCGGTCCGGCCATCTCTGCGTGCAACCGCCTTGAAGAAACCGAGTAGGTTGTCTCTGTCGGTTTTCGAGAGCTCTGCAGTCATGCCTACATCTAGGAAGACAATGTGTGGCTTCTTCGATTTGAAAAGACCTTTTTGAGTCTCGTTCTTGCGGACAAGAATGTTCCCGGGATGCATATCGGCGTGAATAAAGTTGTCAATCTGAGAAAAACAAGCATCAAAAGTTATATAGGTTACTGAAATGAAACAAAACAGAGAGTTTTCAAGTGAATGAAAAGAGTAAGAACCAGGAGCATCTTCAAGAGAGCATGAGTTCCGATATGAGCTACTTTAGCCTTGAGCCATTCGTGTCCTTCAGAGCCATCGACATACCGAGCCACGCTCTCTCCGTGCTCGTATGACTCAACCAAAACAGAGGGATGCACAAGCGGGAAGACTGGCTTAGGGAAAGAGACATCTTTCCATCCACGGAAGTTATATATGAACCGGCTCAGATGAGAAGCTTCCCTTGATAGATCAACTTGAGACAACATGTAGACGCTAAACTGTTGCACACACTCATCCAATCTAAGCCAATTCAAACCCGGAACAAAAGTAGTAAGCTTTGCTGCCAAATTGATTATCACAAAATCTCTCGTCATCGTCTCCTCAACACAAGGATGCCTAACTTTAACAGCGACTTCAGAGGATTTAATCTTCTGTCCTGGATACTGAAACTTCAGGGTAGCTCTATGCACTTGAGCTATACTCCCGGAAGCAACCGGCGACTCATCAAACACCTCGAATATCTCAGAGAGTTTACGACCAAACGCGTTTTCGATGGTTTTCTTGGTGAATGCAAAACTGTGCTCAGGAGCATTACTGTGAAGCTTTGAAAGCTCCAAACACAAATCTTTGGAGAACCTATCAGGCCTTGTCGCAATCCATTGCCCGAACTTGATAAAAGCAGGACCTGCTTTCTCCAGAGAACGACGAAGGACCTCATGCCGCAGTTTTCTAAACCGAGTCCCGCACGAAAACTCTAGCAACGCCATTACAAGGTTAGGTGATAGCAAAACCGCTAAATAGAGAGCTCTGCCGATCAAAATAACACCTTCCATGGCGGATAACAATAGAGTAGAGAGAACAATAGGGACCTTCAACGCACTCCTATGAAGAGAATACTGTGAAGAATAGTGCTTAACAACAGGACTTGGAGCAGGCCTCTGAGCCCATGTCACCTGTCTCCAGCTAACAGCCAAGATACCTGGCAACAAAAAGCGCGAGCGAGCTAGAGACGGGCCAAACGCTTGAGCCAGTTTACTTAGCCGAGGCAAGTTCCAATGGCGCATAGAGTATCTATCAAGAAGCCTTCTCCAAGAGACTTGCGCATGTTGCTTGACTACATTGCTTGCAATTGCAATCGAATAGCTCCGTGAGGGAATACGATCGCCTAAAAATCTTCCTTTGACGTTATGGAGAAGTCCCAATGAATGATTTTGACGATACCCATTACTAAGAATCCTAGAAGACGACGGCGAGTAAAATCTGAATTGAGGCAACCTTAGAGAAACCGTAATAGCTGTTCCATTTTTCTGGTTCGAGTATAGAGATTGTGTGTATCTTGTGACCACTTTAGTCACCAAAAATCTGCAAGTAAAACCAACAAAAAAAAAAAAAACCAAATGGATTTAACTAAAGAAGGATCTGATCAAAACGAAGAGTCAAAGGTTAAGACGCTAGCAAAATTTCCAATTTTTATAACCTAAGAATCAATTTTACGCAATCTCCAGCAAAACGGGAAGCAAAAGTTAATCAGATTAGGAATCAAGAGAGACCCAGAAACCCCTTTAGCGAGGCCAAGCAGAGGAGGAACAGAGACGAACCTTGAGATGAGGGTCATGGCGAGAGACGAACGCGAGAAAACGCGAGAAAAAGGTGATTTTTTGGTATGATTTTTAGACCGTTAAACGTAGGGAGCATTGTCTCATCGATTTTGGCTCGGATTTAGGGTACAGAGGCTCGCCGTTTTTTCTGGGAAAGGTTCTGGGTTTTGAGGCTGAGGCCGATACAGAGAGAGAAAAGGTCAGTGATTTTTTGCGGAGAGAGAGAGAGAGAAGGGACCCACAAAAATTGAGATATTTAGTAATATCTCGTGGGCTTCACGCTAAAACTTTATTTGTCGTCGGTCTTGTACAAAGGCTTTTCTTTTTTTTTTTGGCTCAATTCGAAAAATACTTTCCAGAACAAAAAATATGAAAAGAATTTTCCATTAATATAATGATTCGAATTCTCTTATTCGATCGAACCTAACAGAAAAGTGCTAAAGCTAAATATATACATTAGTTTTTTTTTCGCTAAAGAAATACAACTGTTTCGAACGATTAATATTTTTTTCCCTTTAAAAATTATGACGGCTTTATATACTTTTCAACACTGTGAACTGGATTTTTCAGAACAAGTGTGTTAGTAGATTTTGTATCATCTTCAATTTTCAGATAATTGTATTTTTTGTATATTGTGGATGCATGTCTTTTTAGATGTCTGATTATAGATTTTTTTTAAGTTTTGTTATATATTGATACTAGACTGTGCATAGTAAAATATCATTTGTTTATTTATTTATTATTCTTATTTTAAAATTATAAAAATAACATAATTAGTTTAATATAAATTTTATATAACGTTATATGTAATATTGACAATATAGTATGTTTTTTTATTTTTTGAAACATAGTGTAGTTTTGACACACATCACAATTTATAATAAAAATATTTGAGTTTTAATTTTTATCTACTATACATAAAACTCAATCAAATATGATTTATTAGAAAATATAAACAGTACAATTTATAATCATAATATTTAAAAAAGAAATATCTAATTTATTTTATACATAATTTAAGTGAACTTTTTATATAAGAAACTTTTAGGTACGCCTTTTCTATGATTATTAGAATCAGTAAATAATTTTATAAATTACTAATTATTGTATTAAAAGTAATTTCTATAGTTAAATTGAAGTGATTTATAATAAAAGTTTCTACATCAGATTTAATATTTATTTAAATCAACTTCAGTCAATTATATGACTTATTAAGAAAGACATCATTACAATTGTTTAATTGATAATTAGTATTATTAATTGGATATAATTTTTTTACTAAATTTATTTGAATATATAATTCATAGCAATAGATCATTTTAATTAAATTATTAATAAATTCCTAACTAAATCATAATTTTGTTATTTGAAATATATTTGAAAGTTATTATTATATAATAAAATTATGCAGAAATATTTTGACTCTTTTGTCTTGGTTAAACCATATGTAAAAATAGACTGAATTATGTAAATAAATTTGATTGGCCATAATATGAATTATGTTAGTGAAATTGATTATGTTTGATTGTTGTAACTTTAATGTAGTAAAATTGTAAATAAAGTGTATTTATCTTTTTTAGTGAAATTATACATTCTTATATTTGTTTTTTCCAATGAATCAAGTATAAGCACATTTTTTGGCTAAGATATCATGTTCGTTTGATATTTAAAATTTCTTAGTTATGTATATTTTTCTTAGTTATGTATATTTAAAAAAAAAAAATTAATATATCATTTGAATACTTACAAAAATAAAACATATCATACATTTTGAACATAAAAATATATAATGACAAATAATATTTTTTGAGTGAAGTTATACATTGCTGTTATTAAATTTACATGATGCTTATATTTTTTGGTTCATTTTTTAGATCAATTTTGTTCAATAATATATTATTTGAATAATTAAAAATGAATTATATCATATGTTTGATTACAAAAATGTATAATACTGATAATTCTCTGATTTATTACCAAAATGTTTTTTCAAATATAAAATACAAAAATTCTCTGATTTAAAAATTCTCTGATACAATAATAATATCATATATTTAAAATTCTCTGAATTGTATCACATGTAAAAATGTTTTTCAAATTTTTATTAAATTTTTTATTTTGGTAACAAATTTTACAAATTGCATGCGGGTCCAAAATTTTGTACATTTCGTATCATTGTGTAATATTAAGACTTATTAATAATGATGTGATGAATGACAAATGGATTTATTCAATTAGGTAGACTAGTTTTAATAATTCTCTGAAAAATTATATTGAATGTGGATGAATTTGCGCGTATTTACATGATGATTGACAGATTGCACAAACTCATATAGGTAGATGTTGCATCCTTTTTTTTTACTATGGAGTGGAAATTTTTTGTTTGCTGAAGAAAAATTGTTGATTTGCATTTTGAGAAAAAAACATAAATCAGAGAAATTGGAGGAGTCTTGCACCAGAAGAAAGTGTGCTTAGTACTTGAGAAAGAAGATAATTTTTGGTGCTTGATTGAAAACCTATTCTATGGAATTAGATTTTGTTTTTGCATTGGGATTGAGATAATAAATAAAAAAAAATATAGCTTAAACAATCCTACTAGTACATGTCTCAAGGTTTGTAACAGAAGATTATAAAATAACATACCATTATAGTTTTGATCCACTGGCTGAGTATCTATCATTTGTGGAAACTGTGAAGTCTCTCTAGAAATTATACTATCGAATTTTTCTCAAAAATATACCAATGTAGCTTTGACTGCAGTTACATAATTGCTGGTTATCGTGGACGGAGATTATACAATTTTTCGGTCCTTGATGAGGTGATAACCGGATTATTCTTGATCTGTTCTTGAATATTATAATCAGGATCTCCAAGATTGTCATCATCATCAGTTAAATCTGTATCAATCCACGATGTCCAATCTAACTCGCTCTCTGTATCTTCATCCCACGAGATCTCCCTCTTGCTTTGCATGTTGTCAACCTTATCAACTAATCCTAAAAGAATCTGGTGGTTTAACACTTCATAGTCCCTGCATTTCAATTCAACTGTACAAGATCAGCTTCTGATGAGTTTTGGTTTGTCAAAACATATTCTTGTATTTGATTGTTCATACCTGTATGTGAAAGCAGCATGAAGAAGCTGAGCTGAAGCAAGAACAGCAAATAAAGACCTAACAATGTTTATAACCCATGCTCGGTGTTCTGCATCATTCACGAAACGCAAACTTGCCACTTCTAATGCTAACGTAACGCACAAACCTGCATCAGCGAAATGAAAATAAGGTATGTTAAACTAATGTACGACTTTTGATAATTATTATGGAATGAGAAAGAGATATGGAATATGATACTTACCAATGTAAAGCCTTGGTCTTATGGTATAAGTTTGTTTTGTACTTGTAAACATGTAGATGACAAAGATGGACAAGAAGTAGATGAAGAAAGCTTTTATCACACGGGACTCAAGAAGCATCGCATTGTGCAATGCAAATAACTTATCTAAAGCTACAAACATGCTTGCCTGTTTAGCTTCAAACGCTTCCTGCAAAAAACAGATTTGTTAAACTGATTATCTACAATATTTTGACAAAAGTGTCTTGGTAAAGGTTTAGGTGGTGTGACTTACCTGAGCTGCCAACATTGATTTAGAATTTTCAAACAAGTGATCATGAACCTGTTGAAGCTGCTCTTGCCGCTTTACAAGATCTTCTTGTTGCTCCTGGCTAAACTCCACAAAACCTTGCAAAGTACTCCTACTCTCTTGCAGTGCCTCGCTCTGAAACATTGTAAGAGACTGAAGATTATCAAGAGCCACCGTTTGACCTTCTAAGAGCTTCTGCTGTTTATCCAACGTAGTGTTAGTCATAGTTCCAATGACATTGGTTGTATTCTCCAAAGAAGTCATTTTCTTTGACATTTCTTGTCCAAGTGCATTGATCTCTCCTTCGATTAGCTTTGTGTCGTTTCTCAACTTATCTACTCCTTTCTTGACGTTAGTGACCGTATCATTGACCATCACCATTCCAGCTTTCATCGTTTCTCCCATCTTCTCTTGACCTTCCCTTAACGCCAACTGTGATTCCGCAATGCTCTTTTGTTCTTGATAAATCTCTTTCGTTTGTTGAGACACTCCACTAACTTGAGCTCCTATTGTGTTTGCCGTGTGAGCCACGTTTTTGACCACAACATCTACTGACCCTAAAGATTCATGAATCAAGCTCGTGCTTCGCAATAGATCATCGGATTTACTCCCAAGAATATCCAATTTCTCTTCTGTTTCTTGACTTGACCTCCTCAAATCATTCACAAGCCTCTCTATTTCATTCTTGAATGCATGACTCCTGCAACATGAATAAATTGAAGTTAAAAAAGAACGTACAAAAGATCGAAAAAAACAAACTATAAAACATGTGGAAAGATCTTAACTGTAGTTGTTGGCAGATGGTGTTGGTCTCAAGCATGAATTCAAGATAAATCTTATGCTCATGATCATCTAGCTTCTTGAGGCAACTCATCATTGTTGATTCATCGTTGCATGTGGGAAAACTCGGTCTTCCGGATTCCTTCTGGAAGCAATCGCTCAAATGCCAAGCGAATCTCTTCCTCTTCTCTTCAGTGGCAACCATGTTCTTGCAGCCAGACAAGAGGTAACCATAAGCATTTTGCCAGCAACTGTTTGGACCTACAAGCTTGTTTTTGGCGTCTTCAAGTACTCGAACTGCCTTCTGGTCACTGAAAACTTCTATGGAGAAGTCGGGATTGGATTTGATAGACCTAGAGAAAGAAGATTCTGTATCTTCCGTAGAAGAAGAAGAGAACCATCCCCAACTGTGGCATATTATTGGAGAATCTAAAATTATGATCAGTAGAAACAGAAGAAATCTTCTTTTAAAACAATCCATTTAATCCGGTTTAATTTTTTTTTTCTCCTGTGTGTTCCCCTTTTGATGTTCTACGTCTCGAGGAGATGTGTGATTAATAAACCTACAACAACAAAAGAATGAGATTGTTACGTTCTAAAATTTATATATATGAAAACTTGGAGCGAAAGCAAAGGAAAACCACTTGAACTTCCATGCGAAAATGGCAGTTTTTTTTTCGTGTCATTAGTAACGTTATTAAATAAAAAAGGATTATTAACAAATCAATTTGCAGATTAAAAAGGAAAAAAAATAAAACTATTAAATGCCTCGTTCAGGGGTTACAAAAAGAAAACATGCATTTTTTTATACAAACAAAAAAAAATAGAGAAGCATCTTTATACAAACAAAAAAAGGAAAAATATGTATCTACTTTTCTTATCGTTTTCTGAGATTATACATGCATTTTAAAAGTCGTATCAATAAAAGTTAATCCAAAAACATATAGAAAGTAAGAGCTAAGATCAAAGTATGGTCTAAAACACACAGAGAAACTACAATCAATTTTTGGTTTCCTCGTACAGAGAACAAGAAAATTACATGCATGAAAAGGTTAAATTCAGACGATACTGGGAGAAAAACAAAGAAAACTAAAAATCTAAAAATAGTTAAATTACTTTTGAATCAGAGAAGAAGCATTCAAATTCATTTACAGAGTGGCAACACGGAAAGCAATTTTATTCCTCAAGAACACTTTCTTTTTGTTTTTAAAAATTATAGGAGTACAAGTTTACATGAATCTTAACAACCATTTTTGCTTCATCCAGAAAATAATTAAGGAATTGACACTGATACAAGATTAAGCAAGGCTTACAGATTCAGAGAAGTTGCAGATTTTGAGTCAGCGATTTGGAGGAAGTGCGTTATCTTCGAGAGAGAGAGAGAGAGAGACAGGAATTAAAAAGTAACTGAACGCGTTTGACAAAAAGAGAAGGAAACGTTTGGTGAAAGCTTGGTTTATTTCCGGTACGCCTTGATTTTGGGTATGAAATTGATTTATTCCGGTTCAGTCAAAAATCAAAGAGATGAAGATTTCTACAGAATCTTTCAACACACAAAAAATCAAAGACATGTGTATCGATTTACATGTGACTTCTTAGAATGTTTTTTTCATTTTGTGGTTTTTATATTTGAAGGAATAGATCAGTAATTTAAATGTACGTTTCACGTCTTTAATAAATAGTCAATATGTCCGAGTGGTTAAGGAGACAGACTTGAAATCTGTTGGGCTTCGCCCGCGCAGGTTCGAACCCTGCTGTTGACGAAATTTTTAATTTTCTGCTCAGATGAAAAACGGTAAAACCCTCTTGAAACGAGTACTAATCAGACTCGTCAGTAATTTCATGATTTATCTTCTTTAACTCTCCCATTTATAAGCAGCTCAAGAGTAAACAAAAAAAGAAGGATGTTTGGTGGGAAAAATGGTCAATTTCAACTTTAATAATTTGCATCCTGCCTTTTCCTACCTAAACTAAGATACAATGCATTTTTTTACTTGAACGCTTCAAAAATTCAAAAACTCAACCCAAACTGTAACTTTTGGGCCTAAAACAAGTTTGAGTTTAACAGAATTTAGTCAACCGTTAGATAAGAAAACGACGTCATTTTGAATTGAAAAAAAAAAGGATAAAGAGGTGGATGGCAAATGATGGGGTTTTTATTAGGTAAATAGCAAGACCCAAATGAGCTAGAAGGAATCAGCTAAAGGATGACGAACAGTAATTCGAGATTTCATTTATTTACGTCTATTGCCATCGAGTGCGCGTGGGCAAGCTGATGAATGAATTAGATATATGGACATTTATGGTTTCAATTAAACCTGACGTTGGGCTTGATATTAAATGAGGAGACAATATAGATTCGCCACCGCCTTACGTAAGCATGATACGGACAGAGGTGATGGAGAGTTAATGCCATATGTAATGTTCCAACAAGAAATTTCGATGAGCGAAGGGGGAAACTAAAATATATGGGCACACCTAGGTTTATGGACTGTCCATAAGTACTAGTTCCTGCTTCTAATTCTATATTTTGTATATGTGGCAAATATATATATATATATATATATTATAACGTGTTATTTGATATGATAGGGGTTTATAATGATACATGAGTATAGTGAGTAAAATATAAGTTTACAAAGTGTTATAGTTGACTACTAACATTGATGGAGAGTTATTATCGTATTTTGAGGGTTATTTGTTATGATGGGTGGTTAGTGTACGAGGTAGATCACGTAAATTATATTATATCGTGTTGTTTGAGCTGATAGCTTTTATGTTCATAAATGAGTGTACTATATGTAAATCTACAAGGTATTGTAGTTGTCTAGTAACACTGATGGATGGTCATAGATATTTACTTTGGAGTGTTATTTGATATGATGGATATATAAGGTATTGTAGATGTGCAAAAAGTAAAATAAGCTTACATAAACCGACATAGCATACATATGTACAACATACAATATATACAAAAATCTGACATGTGTGATAATGAAATCAAAGAATTAGCTTGAAAATGATTGATTAGAGCGATCGCTCAACTAAACAATCAATAGAGCGAGATCGAGCGGATTTGATCTTGAGAACCCAACAAAAAGTGTGAGAATAAGATCTCACATGTGAAAAAATGGATAATCTCAGAAATTAGGTCTCCGTAGAGAAGTTGATGGCTCTGTAACTTCATATCTTATCGTGTATTGATTGTCTGAGATGATTTTCGGAGGTGCATGTGGGCGATTAGCTAGAACAACAACAATGATATGGAGAGTGACGATTTGGCCAAGTCGGTGGTGGTCGGATCGGAGATAGATGATGAGATCATCTTGGCCTTGTTAGAACCACCAGACAGTTTCGTTGAAATGAAAAAAAAAATGGGGTCAAGAGATTCAAAGAGAAGAAGTATCACAGTGATAAAGAAAGAATGAAAATAAGAGATAAAAGAGAGAAGAAGATGTGGATTGATAATTTTAGATGAACTAAAAGTGTTATTGGTCTACACATCCCTTCGTCTAGTTTTGTGAAGATATATTTCGGATTTGAAAGGAAAAAGAAAATATTATTTCAATCGAGCGCGTGAGGGCAAAACCGAAAACATAAGTGGCAAAATAGTTTCATGTTTGGGTGCAGAAATAGCATATGTCGATTACTCAATTGACTACCGGTCTTATGCTATTTTGTGCTATTACTCTTGGTTTGCACCCCTTCTTTAGATTTTAGATTTGAAAGAAAAAAAAATAATTTTATCTGAATAAAGAAGTGCGCATGAGGGTAAAGAAGGCAAAAATGGTGGCAAATTAGTTTGATGCTAGGACGCATAAAATGTATATGTCGATTTGTTAATTTACAATCGGTCTTTTATTATTTTATGCTATTACTAAAAAAAAAATTGAAAAGTTATAAACTTTGCTTTAGACAAGACTCAAACCCTGGTCTGATGCTGATTCCAACAACACACAAACCATTTTGCAACAATAACTTTTGACAACTATAATTGAAGTAAATAACATATAACATAATGTTTTTATTAAAAATGTTAATTATACTTTCCTCTTTAGATCGTTTCTATTGCTTTGTTATTTAGAATATAAATTTTATTTTTCAGTTGTTAAAAAAAAGAAATTAAAAACGTTTTACTCAAAATATTTTATTAAAAATATGAGTTTCACTTTTAAATTTTTAATAAAAAAGTTTTTTTTCAAAACATGTATAATATAAATTTATAAATTAATAAAGTTTGTAAATTACTAAATTTTTCGGTTCTAAATTGGTCTAGTTCAAAATATTACACAAATATATGATCTTATTAATATAATAAATTAATAATATGATCTTTGTAAACTAATAATAATTGAAATTTAGTGGACATGTTTTTTAATTTCACTTTTCAAATAACTGAAAAGTGAACTTTATGTTCTACAATAACTAAAATTTTTTTATTAAAAATATGAATTTCACTTTTCAATTTTTAATAAATTTCACTTTTCAGTTATTAAAAAGTAAAATTAAACGTGTCTATTAAATTTCAATTATTATTGGTTTACAAAGATCATATTATTAATTTATTATATTAATAAGATCATATATTTGTGTAATATATTGAACTAGATTAATTCAAAACCGAAAAATTTAGTAATTTACAAAATTTATTAATTTATAAATTTCTACTATACGTGTTTTAAAAAAATGTTTGATTAAAAATATAAAAGTGAAACTCATACTTTTAATAAAATATTTTTATTAAAACGTTTTTAATTTCACATTTTTAACAACTGAAAAGTGAAATTTATATTATAAATAACAAAGCAATATAAACGATCTAAAGAGGAAAGTATAATTAATATTTGTAATAAATACGTTATGTTATATATTATTTACTTCAACTATAGTTATCAAAAGTTATTGTAGTAAAATGGTTTGTGTGTTGTTGATCTAAGCATCAGACCAGAGTTTGATTCTTGTCTAAAGCAAGGTTTATGATTTTTCAAAAAAAATACAGGTTGACTAACTTATATTAAAGTCAAGTTTGTTTTAGACCTAAAAATTGAAGTTTGGATTGAGTTTTTGAAATTTTGAAGCGATGCAAATTATTAAAGTTGAAATTGACCATTTTTCTGTGTTTGGTGCTCCTGTTTCGTATTAAATTTGAATACATTGGGCCTAATGGGCTAGTAAACGACTGACGAATCAATTTTCGAAAAATAAATATATTTAAATCGTCGGTCTGCCCGACTTTAATCTTTTTTTTTCTATAACAAAAATATTTTTGAATGCCCGACTTTAATCTTACTAACGAACTATTCGTTATTGAAGTGGTTTTAGCATTTTAAAATATAGTTGAATAGTATACGATAGATCTTTAACGTTTTCATTATTTCTCTCACATTTTAAACAAAATGTTTTCATTTTGAGTAGAATTTGTTTTGTTTTTGTTTTGGGGGTAAAAAGAGTAGAATTAGTTAAAGTATTATTGCAGTATATTGATCATTTGAACATAAAACTACAATCCTGCAATCGAGCTTCTCAAATTATAATATTTGATAAATCAATTTTAAACATTTAATTTCTCAAGAAAAGAAAAAAAGAATTGAACTTTTAATGATGTGAAAATATTCTATAGAATGTATAGAATTGTTTATTGTCGTTTACAATTTACACAGAGACATTATATATGGAATATGACTCAGGACAGAAGATACTAATACAAATTAATAGGCTATGCATCCAGTCGAAACGCATCTCTTTTGATTCATGAAAGTAGCCGAAAAAGTAAACCGTTTGGAGGAAAATAAGACGTGTGTATTTCTGATTCCTTGAAAGCTTAACAAAATTAGAATCAAAGAGTTTTATTATTTTTATACAGAAAAAGGAATAAGGCTTTTAAGCTTCAATCAAACAAAGCTTCTAGCTGAAGATATTGAGAACTTGTTTTTCATATAAAGCAAAAATAGATAAAACTTGTTCGTCCTTTATTGTACATCTAAAAGACTAAAATTATGCCCATAATGTTTTCTTTTGCCTTTTATATTCATTTTACATTATATATGATCGTTTCTTTTGGCGCATGGCATAGCTTGTCAAACTCTATTACGAACAAGATTGATTCTAATTGATCCACAGTTGAAACTAGTGATTCGCATTTTCAGGTAGAAGTTAATTTGATTTGAAATATATTCCGAGTTTATGCTATCGTTCTCATCTAAAATCCAATATTCCAAACCATTTTTGTAGTTTATATCGATGATTTTTATTTGCTAGGTACAATAAATGAGCCACCAAATATGTATTTGTAGTCTAACATTTTCTCTTTGTTGGTTAAGAAGAAAGATCCGAATGTTAGTAGATTCACAATCTTGGTTACTGAAACGTACATGAACGTAAGTTACATATTAAGCTTTAATATAAATTCCAAAACCATATTCCAAAAGTATGTGAGTTTATTCCTATATTGCTGTTTCGTTATGAAAAAAAAGGGACCGTTACTTGGCCTTTTATTTATTTTGTGGTTAATACAGAGATGATTGCATCGCTAAAGAAAGAAAAGATAAAAGATTTTTAAACCTATCAAATACACAAAAGCGTCCTTAGTGATATGTCTCTACATGCATGCTATGTTCATTGGTTTGGACTTTGGAGAAAACCAACATTTTCAATAGGATACAATCCGAAACCTTAGTACATGAACTACAACAAATTACAAATACGAAGTTTTATTTAGTTCAAAGAACAGGCTAATCATGCATGGGACCTCTTTAGTATTCTTATCGAGATCGAGATCTTTAATAAGAATTCAGTTCTTGCATATATATGTAGTGACATTAGATAGATTAGACACATACATGGCGTCCCTATATATAATATGATTTGAATAATCTTTTTTCTTTAAACATGAATGATGTTGAATGTCAAATTGGTATATATTTATCGGTATATATACTAAACCATATCTGTATATTCAAATCATAAAGTAGGAAGCAGTGGGCCGGTTGTCTACTGGCTTCCACTACCAATTTTTCATAGTATATATAGTTCTAATCGAACGAATAAAAAGTTCAATCCATAGACACATATTTACATATGGGATATGTACGAACATATATACATTTATATAACATTTAAATCAGGATTTCTAAAAAATAAATAAACTCGATCCGATTTGTATCCCAAAATGAAAGGCCTTCCGAATGCAGTGTTATACTAATTATATTACTAGGATAACATGTATAGAGTTCGTATATTTTGCTAACAATATGGTATATGCATATAATTTATACATATATATATGTGTGTACATATACTTTCTTGTTATTTCGTCACCATAGAAATTCGTTTGTCGAACGAATGATCAGTACTTATATACGGATATATTATAAAGATGGCACCAACGGCAAAAAAATATGTATATTTATATTCAAGAACAAAGACAGGAACAAAAGGTTCTTCAACATAAAAACAACCCATATCTGCTAAATTCAGCAATAACCTCCCTACGAAATAGTGAATTAAAAGACAAAAAAAAAGAAGAAGAAGAAAATACATTAAAATTATTGTCATGCTTTAGAGTCTTCAAGCTGAATTTAGCATATGTTCCCATCCGTCTTGACAACCATAACCTTCTCTCTTTAATCACCTAAATAGAATTAAAAACAAATTTAGCTTAATTATTATCATCATTATATATATTTATATATATATACATGTTTTTTCCTAAAATGGACCCTATTGGTTTATGATAGATAATCCCATTTTTCTAAGCCCTAAATCATTCATACTTTTGTAGTTGGTCCCCTCCAGCACCATTGTTGCCTCTGCCCACCTTTGAAGAGTCACCTCCTTCTTCCATCTCTACTTTTTCTCCAAGTAATGATTCAATCTTTGATCATGACTTGCGAATTTTACTCTTTTGTTTATTATTATTTAACAATTATTAATTAGTATTTTGATGCTAATAAAGAACCGTGTGGTATATGTCCATTTTCTCTACCTGAAATTGTTTCCACCAAATGTTGGTGTCCAAAAATCGGCGGTTGTTTCATTTGCCACCGGAAAAGTGCTTGATAACGGGACGAGACACAGGCCGTGTGCTCTTAGTTCTTGATTCTCGTTTCCATCTTGAATATTCGATTTGCCAGATATCTGCATATATATGATGAATCCATACTCAATTAGTACTTAATGGACCATTATTATAACATGAAGAGTCTAAAAACAAAACAAAACAAAAAAAACTCCGACAAAAAATCGAACTCTAGATAGAAACAAACCTGTTGTTGTTGTTGGATTGAGGCACCTTGTTTCATGTATGGAGTACTTAGAACCTGTATTTTTAAAAAAATATAATGCTCAATATTTGATCATACCTAGGGTTTCTTGAATTAAAAAAAGATTTAAGAGAGAAATCACTAGAAACGTACAGTGACTTGATCGTGGAGGAACTTGATGTACTCTATAGCTTCTTGGAGAACAGATGCAGTATCTGTCTGGAAATTAGCCCAAAGATAACAAACAAAATAAAGGAGTTCAATACATAAACCTAACCAAGAAGAAGAAAAAAAACACTTTTGTTTGTATATATTGTAAGCCAAATAAATAAAATAAACACATAAATCATTCACCTTTCCGAAAGGTGAAACTAGCTGTTGTAATGAAGTAATCTGGTCCCTTAGATTCTCTTTTCTCACCTGTTACATTTACAATCCATTTTATCCACCAAGAACTTTAATTAAAATAAAAGGGTAGAAACAAATCTTCGTTTATGATTATGTACCTTAAAAGTTGGCAATGGTGAAGGCGTGGTAACTCTCTGTTTCTTCGACGCAGATTCATTATCTTTTGCTTTCTTCAAAGACTCACTCGGACCTCTTGTCTTCATATTCTTCAACACAAAAAAATAAAAAAAATTAGCCACAAAACATATATATCAACAAAATTGCGACATATGTGATTAATTAATTACCTTAGTTTTATCCTCAACACGAGTAGAGATTATCTGCGGAGTGGTGACAAAACTGTTTTGCGTCGTGTTGTTTAAGTTAGAACTCCAAAAGGGTTGAGAGTTTGTGTTGTTAGAGAAGTTGTTAATTAGTCCATAAGCAGCTTGATGATGATTAGTTGTCTTATTAGCCCAAGAGAGTTGATGGTCGTTGATTGAAGAACCAGTGGTGGAGACAAAGTTGTACGGACTCGGTTCAGGATCATAAAAGCTTCGTAACAAGCTCGAGGAAGAAGAAGTTGATGATGATGAAGAACAAGCCGGATTAAGAAGATAAGGTGAAGTAGTTGTAGATAAGAATCCTTGGCTATGATCTTGGTCTTGTGAGCTCCTTATGAAGCTTGAGTTTAAGTCTTCTTGTCTGAAAAACACAAAGCAAGAATCAAAAGTGATCTCATGAATATTATTGAAGATATGCACTATTGTTCATCAAGAAACTAGAAGAATTGGAAAAAGAAAAAAAAAATAGTTAGGGTTTTTTCGTAAGAAATTTACAAAATGGTTTGGTTCCAATCTGAAGAAGAGTTTGAGGAAAACCCTAGACCCATCATTTGCAACGTCGAGTCAATCGTCACGGTGCTTCCTCCACTGTCGGAATCCGCCTCTCGCTGCCCGAAAACGATGTTGTTGTCCGTACAAGTCATCCTAGATTTGATATTATTCTCTTGAGAGGCAAAATCATCGGAAGTGATTGCAGCTCCGAAGCAAGGCGACAAGAAATGATCCGAAGGAGACATAACGCTCCTCGGCGAATTCCACCACGCGCTGCCTCCGCCGCCGCAAATTGCTGCCGTCGCTTGAAACTCTTCAGCCATATAAACAGAAATCAGAAAATTATAATATATGTTTACTCCTAGATCGTTGTTAGACAAAGGTCAAGAGTTTATATGAGTGTGTGGTATGACGAGCAATAATGTGAAATTTTGATATATGTTTTATGAGGGTGTGTATGTTTATATAGGCAAGTACGGACAAGAGTGTGGAAATTACCGGAATTTAGTTGACATTTGAAACAGTTTTAGACCAAATAAAAAAAAAACTGTATCATCATAACATTCCCAAGTGATTTTTAAAAGAAAAAAAATATAATCTGCTTTTTAAATTTATTCCTTAGGTTAATTATTTTATTTGAAAGAAAGATGTTGTAATAATAGAGTGTTCCTAATCCCTCAATTTTCTTCTATTATTCTAAGAACAACTGTCTGTGTGAGATTTGTTTCTTTGCTGCTTAGCTTTTCTATGAAGCGATAATTATCCTCTTATTTTGATTAAGTAAATATTTAATTTGAGATTAGATAGGTGTTTGGTATTATGCAAGATGCCAAAAGGGTGTGATAATATTTACAGTTAGACATTATATCAAACGGTACCTAAGATTGGTTGACATCAAAATTCTATAAATCGATAGTTTACTAAGTGGTCCGAAATAGAAAATTTGGCAAGATTTTAATTAACTCAGCTTAGAGGTCGTTGATATTCAAGCATACATTTCAACAGACTTTGTGTCTACTGTTATTCAATCATTGATTCTGAATTATGTATTAGCCATGTCCATATGGTGTTATTGGGTTTAATAGATCTTTATTATTTTTTTGGGCAAATAGGGTTTAATATATCATGTTTTAGAGTTTTAAAGTTTGGTGTTATTCAATTAATTAAGATTTTAGAATATTTCATTAAAATAAAAAATTTTATGTTGTTCAAAGTATTTGTATAGGAATCATTTTCTTAACGATTTCAGTAGATAATATTAAAATGAAATCCAAAATATAATACAAAAAAACTAATTTAAATTCATACACACGTCCAAATATTATCAAGATTTTATATACCAACAAATCACAAATAAAATGATCACCCCAATGATAAACCTTTTATTTTGCACTAAAGAATGATATTTCTTATATAATACACATATAAATCACTATTACGATTATAAAAGTTTGGATAAACAAAAAAGTAACTAAAGGTTTATTTCATTTTCGATCTGATTTTTCGGGGTGGTAAAAGCAGTAGTATAAAATAAGATTTGTTCTTGTGGCTTGAGACTAAAGGGATAAATGGTATATGATGACGATCGTCGATCGATGCTGAGTTTCGATCTGTGTGTCACGTCACCGTTTCTGGACCTATTGTGTTTGTGACTTTTTTCCCAAATCTCTTTATACCATACGGTCCATATTCTTTTCAAGTAGCTTTTCTAAATTCCGTAAATATTTTATTCTTTTAATAAATATGATAAGTCAATCAATTATTGCACTTTACTAATTACAAGTCATAGTTTGTTTTCCCGCTTTTTCTTAATTTTTAAAAAACATTATTATTATTTCCATTTGATGCGAGAGCCACACAAATTAAAGGAAATTTGGATTTGCTAAATCTGATAATGGTATAACTCTATTTGTTGTTATGATCAATGATCATATCGCTCGAATCATATTGAACCGGGCTGTGTCGCGTCTAGAAAAAGAGAGAGTCTTATCTATATAGATAGATATTCGATTTGCATCCAAACAAATCATGTACATATTCGTATCTTAATACTAATTTATAAATATTACACAATTGTTGGTTATGAATATTTTAACCGTGTTATACCAACGTTAAGTTTAATGTAATTAAAAAATCAAATCACGTACCTTTTCACTAAAAGAATACCCGTTAAAATGATTAAGACAAATGCTTAAAATGTTGTTATCTTTGTTGGCTAATGGTTTCTTGGAAAAACGACTAAGAGTTCAAAGGTCGCAATTAATGTAATCTTTTTAAAAATAGTAAATAATCAACTGGTCTCTCTCTGCGACACAACGTATTGACTTAAAGAGCTTCGAAGCGCTGAAATATAGAGTTAGTTAGGTCAGATCCATGCGACTAGTAAGATTTTATCAGCAAATAAAATTAATTTGTAATATAAGCTGAAAGAGTCAAAACCAATTTGATCAAATTGTTTAAAACACCATGATGAGTCCAACCCGCCAAAAAGATACTCTCGATTAACCGATAGGTTACTTAATAGTCAAATAATTTTTTTTATGAACCCACTTGTTTACTTTTGGCTGATATTTGGATAAAAACAAAACTTATTAAATTAGGTTTTGAACATGAAAATGTGTCACAAGACTCACAAGTCACAAATATCGTATGACAACCTAAACTAGATCCGAAGAATCTTTGTCAGTCCATCGAATGTTCTTTCTAACGGTCTGGTCGATCCCATCCATCTATAGACCGTCACTCCTCTAGGCTCTTCTCAATCGACACTTGGATTTTCATCATTATGGGACACATGTGCTAAATAGCCTCTTGTTTTTATAAAATTCAATAAATATTTTTGGCATTCAAATAATTCATTAGATTCCAGCAAGTATTAAGTAACTAATCTGGCGAGTAGCTACAAAGGATAATTGAATTTTTTTTAATAATCGAATATTTTATTTACTTCTTTGAAGAAATCTAGGTATTTTTGAATTGTTTATCATTCAGGACCGGTCCTGAGCAAAATCGGATGAACATTTGCTTTAATCCCACAAAATTTATATGGTTAAATATATATATATATATATATATATTATTTGATCTTCAATTTTTTTTTAAAAAAATATGTATGAGTTATCTACCATTCAATTTAAAATTGTTTTAAGCCCTGTTAGTGATGGGTTTAGCACTTCTTATTAAAAGCCCTTTATAAATTGAGATAAGACCCATTTGAAATTCTATCTCTGCCTCCGGACTTAGGTCGGTGCTCAAATACGAAAATATTCGAGGATATATTCGAATCGCGGAAGAAAAGGAAAAAGAATCCCGAGAAGAAAGGAAATTATCCTAATCCCAAAAGAAAAAAAATTCGATTCAAGACGGTCTATGAAGGCTATATAAGAAGAGCCTCCTCTCTCGAAGATCATTCATTCGCAACTTCGGACTTGAGACTCAGGGCAAACAATAGCTTATTGCTTTCAGCTTTAGATCTCGGTTCTTACTCTCAAAGTTTTAGGTCGGCATTCTTTTCCGACGACCTAAAACCCTTGTACACTTTGAACTCTGGCTAATCAATAAAACAGTTTTATTTTTTTCCCCACAAATCTTTATATTTTCTTTAAAGGAGATATCCAGATCTTACAAGCCCCATCAATCTTATATAAAGCTGGCCCTGTTATTTTTTAACCAAATCCGCAGAATTTGTCTCACAATTCACGAGTTAAGTACATGGTATTACAAATTCATAGAAAATACATATATTAAAAATAATGCAAATGTACATTTTTCAGACGTACAATAGAAATTGATTACGAGCCAGTGAGATTCATGCACTCGTTTTCAGGCGAACTTAGTTGACGATGAAGAGACCATTGCTCCAAGATCCGTATGTAACATTGCTATGTACACAAATACAATGACCCGCAATGTATACACGTATATATATGAAGATGCAATATGAACATGTATGAAATATCAAAGTATGACATTTTTTGTTTAAAAAAAACATGTATGCAATTTAAAAGTAGGTGAGGGAAAATGACAAGTAGTCAAAAAGCGGGACCCACACGGCAAATATGAGTGGATACTTTGTTTGGCGCAGATAGTCGGATAAGTGTCAGCGACTCATTCTTTTCTTCAAACCCCAAATCATCATTAACAATTTTTTTCTTCCAACAATTAAACCTTTTATAATTTATACTATTTGCAAAAGAAAATTTAATTTAATTTTTAACACGTAAGTAACGTAACGCCTCTTCTTGGACGCACGAGAGCTCGCAACTAATAATAGTTCACATAAGTTCCAAAATAAAATAAAAACACGAGAGCTCACAACTAATTACCTCTGAGGTGTAATCTTTTCACCTTTTGAAATTTTATCTTTCATCGTGTGGTTTACACATATATACTCATAATATTGATGTCTAGAGAATGGTTATTTTGTTTGGATGGCAATCGTAGGGTTTGTTTTGGATCTAGGTTGTATTGCTATTGGTTTTCTTTTCAAAAGTTACAATGCTGATCAGTTAGTTTGGTTTGGACAAAATGTGTAGTGCTTGATGTACAAACTGATGAGTTTTGTGGTACTAAATTTTGCTGTTTTGTATTTTTATTTGGATGTTTGACCAGTTTTTGTAGAGTAGATAGTTCAAAAACTTGCCATGGAAAATAATATTGTTTAAAACACATTTTGAATCAGTCTTCCAGAATTTGTGTTGGTTCGATTTGGTTTGCTTCCGGTTCTCTACGTTTTTTTAGCATTTGGGTTTACAATGAGCTTTTAATCTGCCTCATGTCCTCTCTATAGTTTGGCGAGGGTGTGTCTGTCTGCGTCCGATATTACGTCTCAGTATTATTAATATTATTGTTATTAATTGTAAGATATCTCCTAAGCAGGATGTCATGCTGACGTTAAGATGAAATGTAGAAGATTACAAAAAAGAATATATTTTGTTATTGCACGATTACAAAACGATGATACGATGGGACAATCATCATGGCCGTGACAGACACGTGGGGTACTAAACTCCATGAATATGAATAGAGAAAAGTAAAAATATTTTCTTACAAAAACTGAAAAATTAAAGAAATATTGTAGCAATGACGGTCAAAAGAAAAGCGCATTGATATTATTCTGCTCTTATATTTTTGGACTTGCTTTTAGTTTTTTGTGCTTAATTAATTTCAGACTTTATAGAGAAACAAAGATCAACACAATGCATTGTTTGAACGGATAATTTCTCAATATACAACAATTGCGTAGCATAATTATAATGCATAAAAATATTTATACTCTTTGCTGAATCTTTTATTCATAAAAGTTATCTATTACATGTCCATTTACGATCACTAGAACGGATTTCACACGCTATTAATGCACAATGTATCATTTGGCTACTAATCAGTGGTTGACCAATGTAAGTATTAGTCTTCTTGTAAGTTTTAACCTCTTTTAGATAAAGTTGACGCCCAATTTTCTCTTTTTGTGTTTTTATTTTTTTTTACATTAAAAGGTCAACGCAGAACTCAAGA